CTCCTGAATCCAGGGCCAGTGCTCTATCCACTGCACCACCTAGCTGCCCCAATGAAACTTACAGTCTTAGAGAGTTACCTGGGATACTGAGAAGTTAAGTGACTTGCCCAAGGTCACAAAATCAGTATATATCAGAAGTGGGATTTGAATCTTGACCCTCCTGCCTCCCAGGCACAACTGAATTTACTAATGCTATGCTTCTTCAAGTGCTTCCCAATAGTGATAAAACATCTATATCCTTTGACCACTGCTAGGCACATACCCCAAGAATGTCACGGACATACACACCAAAATACCTACAGCAGCACTTTTTGTAACAACGTAGAACTGGTAATAAAGATGTCCATTGATTAGGGAAGGGCTAAACAAGTTATGGAACATAAATGTAATGCAATATTACTGCTTCTCTGTGTACAGTTATGATCATGGAGGCTGGCCCCTCTTTCAGAGGGAGGGAACAGAGATTATTGGTCTCTGCTCTTGCTTCAGCTTCTCCCACCACAACCATATTCAGGACCCAATTTTTGCTTGGCAATGAGGTTGGGTTATATCTGACTCAGAACTATATAATATTCTGAGCTTGGCCAAAAATCATGTGATACTAGAAAAGATGTGGATTCCAAGAACACCCTCCCCACAACACACCCTTAATGCCAATCACAATAATGTCTTCTGGATGGTTTAATAAAAACCTTGAAGGGATACCCATTCTAATTTGAACAAAAAGCTCTTATTCTTAAGATTAGGCAATTTTCTTTACCCTGAGAATACACTGAGCTGCCTTTAAGTGAGCATACAGCCACAACACCATAACTACCCTGTTCTGCTATTCTTTACTAATCCCAGGACTCTTCTGACCCCTCTACCTGCTTGGGGGATTCTGAGACTTGAATCATGGTGCTTTCCTAGGAAACTCAAATACTGATTAGTGCTCTTTCCCCTAATCCCTTTAATTATAGATTCACAGTAATTTTTAAGTTGCTTTCTTCATGGCTAAACAGATAATACTACTACTAATTTTCTAATTTTGTCTCCCACAATGCTTTAGAAGTATTTGATGCCAAACAGTGTTGTGTCAAATCAATTAAAACAATTACCTATCAAATGAAAAGAAAAATCTATTTCTATTTTGTTTCCAGTTCTTTCCCATTTCCATTTCTGGTTCTATTCCCTTTCCTTTTCTTAGAATTGGAGTAGATATATGGATGGATATCTCACCCTTATCCCTCAGTACGCTGTCTAGGCTGAGGGTGCAGGGTAGGGAGTATCACTGAGAGAAGGTGTCTACAGAGTCCTCAAAATTATAAAATGGATAGTCAATCACTCATAGTTTAGACACTCTTTTTCTAGCACTAGCTTTTCTGTATCCAGGGCTGGGGGGACTCCTGGATGGCCTGGTTAAGCCCAGTAATTACTTCTGGGACTGCTCCCTGATTTCTCTGGAGATTTTTCCCAAACATTTCCCTTTATTATCTGTCAGAGAATAGTGGCTGCTAAATTTGAGGAGATAGTTTGGGATTATATTTTGTACCCTAAGTGCCAGGCTAAAACTTCTTTGGACTCTATCTTCTCTGTGTGTGTGTGTACATGATATATCTGAGACCCTAGCATAGGGGGGTTTATTTCTTTTTAAAAATATTTTATTTTTCCAACTACATGTAAAGATTATTTTTAACATTTGTTTTTCAAAATTTTGAGTCCAAATTCTCTCCCTCTCTCCTTCCCCTTCACCCTCATTGATAAGACAAGAAATTTGATATAGGTTATACATATGTAGTCATGCAAAACATATTTCCATATTAATCATGTTGTGAAAGAAAACACAGACCAAAAAAACTCACAAGAAAAATAAAGTTGTTGTTTTTTTTTTTTAAAGGATGTTTTGATCTACATTCAGACTCCATCAGTTCTTTCTCTGGAGATGAATAGCATTTTTTATCGCAAACCCTTTGGAATTGTCTTGGATCATTATATTGCTGAGAATAGCTAAGCCATTCAAAATATTGCTGTTAATTGTGCACTCTGTTTACCTGGTTCTGATCACTTCACTTTGTATCAGTTCATATGTCTTTCCAGGTTTTTCTGACAGCATCCTGCCCATCATTTCTTATAGCACATTAGTATTCCATCACAATTATATACCACAACTTATCCAGCCATTCCTCAATTGATGGGCATCCTAGGGGGGTCTCTTTCCATGAACTTGGACAGAGGTACAAAATACTTGGGGAATGGGCAGTTGGACAATCAGAAAGCTGGGACAAAGTCTGACAGAAATCAACATGTCAAGAAGAGGTCTTTCTGAAATAGTACAAGAGTCTGTGGAGTGACAGTTCCAGGACAGAATCTATTTTTGTAAACAAATAAAAATGAATCTATGCTGACTGATGGGTCCTATGACAAGTTCTAGTCCAGCTTACTGAAAGAGAAGTCAAGAAAGTATTTGGGCATGAGTCTCAAGTTTTTCCATACAGCCTCAGAATGGATCAAGTTTTCACAATTGGGAAGCTGGTTGAAGGACCTGGTCCCCCACCTCTCAGGTGAAGATCTGAGATGGAATATGGGCCTTCATAGTCTCCAAAACAGAAATGATTATTCACCATGGAACTGCCCCCATTATTAACTCTCCCAGTTTTAGCTGGCTTTCTTATCCTAGTTCACTGATTAGTTATTACATTTCAAGTCAAAGTCCCTCCCTGGAGTCCGTTTTCCCCTGGGGAAGATTTCCTCATTTTGAAGTTTGAGGAGTAAGTCAGTTTAGCTTAAGAAAGATGAAACTTTAGGCTGCAAAATGAAGTTCACAAAAGGACTTTGATATAATGGCAGTCATTTATGGGCAAGGAAGTCTAGGAATTGTGGATATGTGATTTTAGAGATGGAAATATTCTTAGAGATCATCTAGTCTAAAGCCTTCCCACCATACCCTCATACCTTCCCCTTTTACAGATGAAGGAAACCAAAGCCCAGAGGTGACATAGCTAGTTAATGACAGATCAAGGACTTGGACTTTTTTCAACATACTAAGATTCTTTCTAGTTGGTTTTTATCACACAACTTCTGGGGCCAACCCTGGGCTTGGTGTTGAGGGGATGGATAGAAGAGAAGCAGCTGGCAGTCTTGCCTTTGAGAACTGAGTCTGATTGAGAAGACAGGACTCATAGAGGTACAGTTCAAGCGCAGGAAAGTGAAGGAACTGATGAAGTTTAGGAAATCAGAAAGAGAGAGATGGGAGGCAGGAGAGTCAAATACCTACCCACAAGAGGAATCCCCTCATACCATCCCAAACATGGTTATCCAGCTTCCACTTAAAATCTACAATAAATTCACTGTGTTGCCCAGTTCCTGCCCATCTCCACCCAAGAAGTCTATTTTACTTTTGGATAGACAGTTTTTCCTTATGTTGAGCTAAAATCTTCCCTGAAGTTTCTAGGACAGGGGTGGGGAAACTATAGCCTCGAGGCCACACTGAATAGGGCCGCACTTGAGGCCCTAGAAGGTCACATATGTCCTCAAGGCCGAATATTTCCCACCCCTGTTCTAAGACCTCAGGATTTCTGATTTCTCTTCAATGTCTAGTGGCCCATCAGTAAAACAGAGGCAGTAAATGCCTAAATCACTGGCCAATCTCACAGGGTTTAAGCTGGTTTAGGAATAATGGGTCCTTTGAAGATAAATCCTTCTGTCAGAGCCTACTTTCTGGATGCCTTTTCCCTTCCCCTGGCTATATTCTAATGAGAGCAAATCTTCACCCTTTGAAGATGGAAGAAATTAGGTTTATTCAATAAGTCCCATGGTCCAGCTGGATAAGACAGGTCAGAGACAAGCTGAATAAGACAGGCCACCTCCCCGCAAAAGCTTTTCCTGACCTCACCTTCTCCTTCTGAGTTCCCATAAGCACTTGGTTGAATAGAATGTAATTAGAGAAATGTAAATTAAAGCAACTTTAAGGTTCCAATTCACAAGAGGAAAATGACAAATGTTGGAAGGGCTGCAGTATAACAAGCACATTAATGCATTGTTGGTGGAGCTGTGAATTGGTCCAGCCATTCCAGAAAGCAAAGTTCCTGGAAAATGCTTTGACCCAGCTATACCACTACCAGGCTTATCCTCACTTACCCCAAAGAAACCAAAGAAGGAGGGAAAGGATCTATATTTACAAAAATGTTCATAGCAGCTCTTTTGGAAGTAGCAAAAAACTGGAAGTCAAAGCAGCGTCTTTCTACTGGGGAGGGCAAATTGTGGCAATATAAATGTGATGGCATATTACTGTGCCATAAGAAATGATGAAGTGGTTCAGAGGAAACTGGAAAGATCTTTATGAACTGATGAAGAGTGAAGTGAACAGAATCGGGAAGACAATTTGTTCAATTATCTTTGAAAAAACAACTTTGGAAGACTTTAGAATTCTGGTCAATGCAATGATACATCACAGTTCCAATAGAGAGGTGACCAATCTAAAATCCAGAGAGACATACATTTTCAGACATGGTCAATGTGGGATTTGTTTCACAGGACTATGCAGCTAGGGATTGAGGGCTATATTTTTTCATTTTTAAAATTTTGTTCAATGAGGGGGTTGTGGGAAGAGAAATTCATTTTTTTAAATAATGGAATGTAAGTTGCATGTATTTCATTTTTGTCTTTGCATCCCCAGCTAGCACAATGCTTGGCACACAGCAAGCACTTAATAAATGCCTTCTGTTGCTCTGATCAAAACCTTGGGATATTCTTTCCAAGTTGAACTAGAAGCTCCTATTCTCACCTCCAAGACTGGGTGATTTTCTTTACCCTGAGGACACAATGATTGTTTTGCAGCTTTCTGGTGCTCTTTACCTAATTACACTACTGGGCAATATTGTGCATCATCTGTGCTGATGCTGAAGCGACATCCAGTTAATAGGAGAGAATCTATTTTTACAGACAAGGTCAAAGGTTTCTGTTAACCCCTACAGGAAGTGAGGGGGAGGAGAGGGGGCTTACCTAAACTTTGCCTTGCTCCTCCTCGCCCCCGTGGAATAGGCACGGAATTAAATGATGAGGAAATGAAACTGTGCACAGTCTTAAAGTATGGATAGTGTGTGCATTGCTCGGAAGGCGATCCCGGCGGGCCGTTACAAGCACGGCCTGGGCAAAGGCAGCACGGCTGGACGAGCGCGCGGGGGCCAGCTCTAACTTGGCGGGCCTGGCGGAGGGGAGGGGACGCTAGCCAGGCTGTTTTGCATGCGGTCCTCGCTGCCTGCCGGAGGCGGCGGGCCGGGAGCTGGGCGGGGCCTGGCCGGGCCTGGCCGGGTAGGGCCGGGCAGGGCTGGGCGGTCCATCGGCGGGGCCGCTGCTGTTCGTCCCTTCCGGTGCAGGTGGCGCTGTGCGGGCCCCGCTGCCTCCAGGAAGCCTCTCGGGCGTGGGGTACCGGGCTCCCAGGCTGCTGTTTGGAGCGACCGCAGCTGCGGAGCAGCAGCAGCAGCCGCAGCAGCTGCAGAAGGAGGAGGAGGAGGAGAAGGAGGAGGAGGAGGAGGAGGAGGAAAAGGAGGAGCGTGGGTCCCCTGCTCCAGGGCCCGAGGCCGCAGCACCAGCAAGCGCGGGTGGAGAAGGGGCCCAGCCTTCGAAGGGGAGAGGGGGAGGAGGGGAAGGAGGAGGAGGAAGGGGAGGAGGAGGAGGGGAAGGGCCAGCTCCAGAGCCCTCCCCGCTGCCCGCCCGCGCGCGCTGCAGCCGCCCCGGGGCCTGGGAACGAGATCAAGGGCCATGGCCGAGGCGGCCCCTGCTCCGGTGAGAGATCCCCCCGCGCGGGCCCATTCAGGGAGGGGAGCCGGGAGCGAGGCACTCGGGGTCCCGGGCTGCCCCTGCACCGGCCTGGGCCCGGGACGCTGTGTGCGCGTCGCAGGGGTTGGCCTAGGGTGGGAGGGGGGCTGTGTGTGAGGTTTGGGGTAGGGGCCCGGGCTGGGGTGGGGGGGTGTGAGTGGAGAGAGAGCAGAACCGCGTGACCCGGGTTTCCCGGGAGCTTGGCGGGGTGTGGGGGTTGGTATGGGAGCTCCCCCAGCTTTGTGTTGGAGTAAAAGAGCGGAGATTGCGCGAGTGACCGAGGGACGCGGAGCAGGAGGGCTGCCGGGAGCCTGGGAGGCCGTGTTGCTCATTCTCTCCCGACCTCCCTACACACACCTCTTCCCCTCCCCCCCACCATATTTCCCTCTTTTCCCCTCCCATCTTCTTCCTCCTCTCCCCATCCTCCCTCCACACACCCCCTTGGTCCCCCCTCTCCATCTTCTTTTTCCCTTCTTACTTTCCCTTTTCTACTTTGCACTCTCCCTACTCTTCTCTCTCCTCACTTTTCCTTTCCCTTCCCACCCTCCTCTCTTTCATTACCCTTTCCTTTCTCTTCTTTTCTTCCCCTCTCCAACCTCGTCGCTGTTCTATTTCTCTTCCCTCCATCCTTTCCTTGCTCCCCTCACCTTCCTATCCGTTCGCTTTTCCCTTCTCTGTTACTCTTCATTCTCCCCTATACTTCTCTTCCTGTCTTCATCCCTATTATCTTCTCTTCCAGGCTCTCTTCCCTTTCTTGTTTTTATCCCCTTCTCTCTCTCCCTTCCATTCCTCCTTCCTCCCTTCCATCCCATACTTCCTCCTTTCTCTCAGTTTCCTGTCACCCAGAGCCACAAGTTCCATTTTAGTATGGAAAATCAAACTTTATTATACGAGTAACTCACAACCATGAGTAAAACTCAATTCAGCCAGCTTTTTTTCTGAGCATCTACTGTAGGCTTGCCTAGCCAAGATCTAATCTTTGGGAAATAAAGAGAAGCTATCCTAAAGAAGCTTGTGGGTAGCTGGGGAGACATGACAAGGGCCCAGAAAATGATTAAATAGCACTATAAGACAATACAAAGGATGTCACAAGGCAGTAGTATGAGTAAGTACTGAGTGGCATAGACAAATGCTGTGTGTTCATAGAGATCACTAATCTGGATGAGTCAGGGAAAGGCTTGGGGGGGGGAGTACACTCAGGAGTAAAACATTTAATTGTAGCCTAAGAAGTCCCCATTGTAAATTCAAGCACTTCCCCCCACCTTTACTCTTTTATCTCTGAGATAATCTCAGTGTAGTAGAAAGCACTAAATTTGGATTTAGATTCTAATCTGATTTTGCTTCTTACTGTGTGAACTTGGGTATATCACAACCTCTCTGGCCTTCAGATTTCTCATCTGTAAAATGGGAATAGTAAGTAATAGATATTACTCTTCTGATAGGAGTGTTCTGAATATCAACTGAGAATAGTGTTTCATAAATCCCAATGGGCTTATTATAATGAATATTATAATGAACATATAAATGTCAGTTGTTACATAATTATACCTATTCAGTACTTTAGAGGCCTGTGGTTTCATACCACATGATTGGAACCTCTTTCTGCTTTTAGTAGATGAGTTTTAAGAGTAGTTATGGCTAAAAAGTTGTTACCGTGCAGTTAATTAGTGATGAGCTTTTCAAACCAACTTAACCTGGTCCTCAGATAACAAACATACTTTTGAATCTGTCACTCACAACCTTTCTGGCTTGGATTTGCCAGAGCACTTGTGTTCTGGCACAACCTTCAGAAATCCAGGGTCACCTCCACATCAAAGTAATGCATTAGAGTAGGACTTTCATAAAAACACAATAATAACCACGACATCATAGACAAGATAGGTCTTAATTGGGTCCTTGAAAGATGGTTAGATGACAGTAGAATAGGGGAGGTAGTAGTAGTGGCAGAGAAAGGAGGCTTCTCAAAAAGCTCAGAAATGTTAACAGAACATAGTGTGCGGAGGCAGGGTAGGGAATTTGTGTTGGGGTAGGGTGCCAACAGTGAATGAATGATATCGGAAAAGGGTCAAGATGTCCACAGCTTTGTCTGCTTTGCCCTAGGGACTGCCCTGGTCCTGAAATCCTTCCATCAAAACAGTTCTCTCTGCCCATCTAAATCCTAGAACCAATTCAGATCCCATCTCTGAGAATCTCAGAATTGAAGGGGCCATAGGGGTCGTTTTATCCAATGCAAGAATCTTTTATATAATTCTTAATAGGTGATCATACCACCTCTGATTGAATGCTTCTAGTGACAGAGAGCTCGCTACTTTGTGAAACTCTGTGAAGTCTGATCTCATCCTCTTCTGAATTCCCATAGTATTTATCATGTACAACATTTATCAGATACTGCTTTGTGGCATCCTGGGTTGTTAGTTAACTTGGAGAGTTTTCTAACTTCCTGTGGATACATGGTCTCGTCTCCTTAACCAGTTCTTTGGTGGATGATACCACCGCAGCTACAAGTGCCTAGAAAGTTCAGTGTGTGCCATACTAGTTGAATGAATAGGCTGTTCTTTGGCTACATCGTCATCATCTCAACAAACGTTTATTGAATGCTTGCTATGTGTAGGGCACTGTGAGAGTCTGTGACAAATCTGTAGTTCACTCCTCCCCCAGACCTCAGTTTGTGGTACTGTAATCCTGCCTCCTCATTTTCGACCCCACTCCCTACCTCTGCTTCCCCCATGCCCATGGCAGTCATAGTTTTGGGGTATCCGCTGGGGAATATTGTAGACAGAAGGAGTGAAACTGGTTTTTTCTATCATTTCCGGGAGATTTCTCCGTGGACAATGGCAGCAACAATTCAGGCCATGGAGAGAAAGATTGAATCCCAGGCAGCCCGCTTACTGACCTTGGAGGGACGGACAGGCACGGCTGAAAAGAAGCTGTGTGACTATGAGAAAATGGCGGTGGAGTTTGGGAACCAGCTGGAGAGCAAATGGGCTGTGCTGGGCACCCTGCTCCAGGAGTATAGGCTCTTGGAGAGAAGGTTGGAGAACATGGAAAATCTACTGAAAAACAGAAATTTCTGGATCCTCCGGCTTCCCCCAAGCAGTAAAGGGGAGGTCCCCAAGGTAACAATACTGGGCCCGTAGAGGAGGGTGGGCAGGCAGCCTGGAGCAGAGGGAACAGATGAGGCACCCAGGCTTATGTGTATATATATGTGTGTGTGTGAAAAAATATGACCCTTGTGGTTTTAGGTGCCCCTGACATTTGATGACGTGGCCGTGTATTTCTCCGAGCAGGAGTGGGGGAAGCTGGATGAATGGCAAAAAGATCTTTACAAGCATGTGATGAGGGGCAACTATGAGACGCTGGTCTCTCTGGGTAAGATGCCAGACTTCTTTTCCTGTTAGAAGTTATCTGTGATCTCAGAAGTCCTGAGTCCTGCTCTCTTCCTACCGAGATTTTATATAGACAGCCAAAGAAGTTGATCATGGAGTCAGGAGCCTTTCCCCTCTCTGTCTTCTGGTGGCCTGGTGTAGTTATGGTCCTGGCTGACCAAAGCTTCCTCTCAACTAACTGAGATGGTTGGCAAATCAGCTAAAGTAAAAAGTCACTATCCCACCTGTGCATAGCCTAGCACTTCAGCTTTATCAGAAAGCCTGCACACTGTCCTGTCACTTTGCAGGGAAGTGAGTGGTGAGTCAGGCTAGGTGAAGTGATGGGTTTGAAGGGCAGAGCTTGATTGCACTGTTGCCACCTGTCCCAACATCTAGCCTTTTTATGAGCACTGGGTTCAACCGTACGTTTAGGGAGTATTGATCTCATATGAGATTCTATGCTCTGTGATGTTCAAGGCTATTCAAGATATTCAAGGCTGAAGAAGAACCTGGCTTTACCCTCAGGTAGCTTATATAAAAACCTGTTTGGTGAAATGATTCCTAACAATTAGGGCTGTCCCAAAGTGGAATGGACTGCCTCAGAAGTTAGCAAGTTTCCCATGACTCCAAGTCTTCAAGTTAAAGGTAGATGACCATTTGTCAGAGACAGTGTGGAGGGGGTGAGACGGAGGAATCCTTATTTAGGTAGTGGTTTCACTTGATGACTTCTGAGGTCTCAGTAGTCTATAATATTTGAAGCATGAGGGAGGTGGGGAACAAGGGCAGAGTTAGAGCCTAAAACCTCGGGATCACAGACACTCAAACTTATAGAATTTTAGAGGAAAAAACCTTAGAAATCATCTAGTCTTAATCTCCTCATTTTATAGACAGAA